GGCAGGAGGAGACAAGAGAGAAAGGCATTCTGAAGCAGTGCAGGCTGGGAGGTTCCCCCTTTGGTCTGAGCATTGATAGAGGTGGCTGGCGGCTCTGCTTCTCCGGTCCTTCAGCTTTCACCACCTGATAGCTGACTCCAAGTTTTTACTATTATTTGGTTCTACACTTGTAGAACCAAATGCCTACTTGGCACCTCGTCGTTAGTTTTATAAGACGTGTCACACCAGTAAAGCCTGGCCTTCTTCCTCCTACTCTCCTCCCAGACACCCTAATGAAAATGTCACCAGTCCTCATCCAGAGAGTCAAGGTTCTGCAGCCCCGTGAGCAGCCTAACGATCCATACCTGCTCTCTCAGTGCACACATCTATTTTGACCTTTAATTTTCACCAACACCAATGGCCATCTCACTTCTAATAACAATGTACATGGCAACCATTAAGTGTTCCTTAGAAACACAAAATACCACAGCCCACTATTATAGCTGTGCCCCCTCCCCAAATTACAGTACACACATTTACAATCCCTCAGTGACTTAGGACAAAAAAATAAAACCTTTCACTTGACCTGGAGAGCCAGATACACCTTGGTCGTTTCTTTTCTACTACTGGGTCCTGGAGCCCTTTCGAGCCTGACATCAGGTGGCCCCTCCTACCACGGGGTACTCTTGCCTACACTTTACTTTCTTCCTCTAGGTCAGTGGTTCTCAAGCTCCCTCAATGCTGTGACCCTGTCATGGAGTTCCTCAAGCTGTTGCAACCCACAACAATAAAACTATTTTCACTGCTACTTCGTAACTAATTTGCTGTTACGAATTGTAATATAAATATTTTTTGGAGACAGAGGTCTGTGAAAGGAGTCACAACCCTCAGGTTGAGAAATGCTGCCCTAGGTAACTTGTACTTACAATTGGAATCTCAGTTCCCAATTGTCAAGTTTCTCCAACATGTCATTATCTGAAAGCAGGGATCTTGCTCTTTAGAACTGCCCCCACCAAAAAAAAAAAAAAAAAAGTTTACAATTGTAGTTCCAACACTAACTCACTAACTCCTCCTGACAAATTCATTATTGAGTAAGTGTACAAGCAGAGATTCATTAAAGAAATCAGTTCAGGAGAAGTAAAAACTATGCAGGTTACTTGGAAAGGAAAGATGTCAATACCAACACTGGGACAATGTGGCATGAATGGCACAGGGTAACCAATCAGCTTCCAACTGTATCTTAACCCTGACCACACGGGAAAGACTGACCCTGTAACCCTGCCCAAAGCCCACTACTGAGGAGACCTTGGGCCCTAGGGAGAACCTACTGTCGTCTTACTAAATGCTCATGTTGTTGACTTCTGAACACTCATATTTATGCTCATAATTGTTGCTCTCAACCCTTATCAGAGAAGCTTTTCGTAATGAGCAATCATTAATTCAGGACTCAGAACCTCCCAAAATGCTAATAGTGAGTGCTCAGTCCTGCCTCAATGGGTTACACTCCCCAAGGATTAAAGGAAGTGCAAAGAATATAAGAGCAGAGGACAGAAAAGAGCTATGAGATGCTGTCTTCCGGGGACATGTCATGGCCACTGCACTTCTAAAGTCACAAGACCTGCACATGGTCCAGTCAGCTGACCACTGTTGAGAAAGGGAGTGAGGCTTTTGAAGGGGAAGGGAGGTGGCAGCTACGGGCTGCCCATGCCCCTGAGGACAGCCTCACACCAACACCATGTAACGGCACCACATAGACAGATTCAGTAGACTACTCTTTAAGGTAGTGGGAGGCCAGGGAGATGGCTGAGCAGTTAAGAGCACGATGCTCTTTCAAAGGACCTGAGTTCAGTTCCCAGCACCCACATCAGGCAGCTCACCACCCATCCATATCTCCAGCTTCAGGGAGTCCTACACCTCCAGCCTCCAAGAGTACCTGCATTCATGTACACATAGCCACATGAAGATACATACCTATAATTAATAAAAATAACTTTTTTTAAAGAGGGCATGAATTGGGAGGGGAACACAGAATAATCAAGACACATTGTATGTAAGTGTGAGTGTGTAAAACTGTCAAAGAATAAAAGTATTTTGTTCTGTTTAAAAAGTCATTGGAGAGATGGCTCAATGGTTGAGAACACTGACTACTTTTCCTGAGGATCCAGGTTCAATTCCCAGAGCCCACATGGCAGCTAATGACCATTTTTAAGTCCAGTTCCAAAGGATATGACACCCTCTTTTGGCCTTCACTGGCACCCAGCACCTGCAGGGAAATACTTAGACAAAAGTAAATCTATTTTTAAAAAAAAGTAATTAAAAAGATTTGAAAGTATTACAAAAAAATTCAAGATCCTCTTGGTTGTGCTGGGGTCCAAAGTCGGCCTGGCCTAGATGAAAGAACCGTCTGAGATTGGGAAATGGCTACTTGACAGGTCTCTCCATTCATCAGGGACTACCATGAGCTACCTTTGCAGTCTATTTTTCCTCTTTCCCCTGACCATGAGGAGGAAGAATACACTTGGAATTATTTTGACATTTGCAAAACTTTCTTCTTCAAATTTCCCTCCAATACAGTTATCCTATCTAGGGAAAATAAAATGCTAAGCTAAATAATAAAAAATTTTGTAGTATATTAAATCTTAAGGACAAAAAAGTTTTTTCCATGAAATATCTAATTTCAAAACTAAATTGCTGGTAGGGTCAAAAAATGTTTTTCGATCTTTTTATGCACAAAAACACTAAAAGATATTCACTCTACAAGCATAAAAGATTTTCTACACTCTGTTAATTAAAATTTTACTGAAAGATGGAGATGCACACAAAAACTACACCTGCTTTTCCAAAATCGTGTATAGTAATAACTCTTATCGAGTCATTACTCATGTTAAAGGACAACAAACAGTCAATCTCAGGATGGTTGAATGAGTCACTCCTGAGGGAACATCATAACGCAAGTGTTCAATCCAAATAATTCAAATAAACCTAGCAAATAATCAAAGAATTTTGCAAAAGGCATAAAAAACCTACAGTTAAATAAAAACTCAACTAAATAATTTCTGATATAGTCAACCAAAAGATGCACACTTGGATTCTAAATCAGCCGACTTAGAATAGAGCTATGCATTTACAGACAGAAGTCTGCATTGTACAGAATTATCTGTGACTAGCAAAGTGTCAAACTCCTACTTCAGCCCTCTCCCTATCACCTGAGCTTCGCCCACCTTTACAGACATCCTTCAGCTGGGACTGAAGTACTCTAGTCTTCTCAGCTACCTCGGGTTTCCCGCTCCTCCCTCTGCATAACCTTCCCCAGGTTCACAAGAACCTTTTCCCTTCAAAGCTTCCTCGGGAGGAAAAGCTGCTCCCCTCAGACACCATTTATATCTTTTTGGTCTCCTCACTAATCTTGTTACTTTGATAACACGAGAGCCTGTTGTATAAACACAGCTGTAATTATTTAACATCAGAAAGAAATGATGTGCGGGATTAAGCACAATGCAGTGTTCCTTCTGGTTTTTTGACACCCGCCTCATAAAATGCTTTTCACACAGGCTATGCAGCTGAGAAAATTTCCTCGTGAACTGTCAAAGGGCAAAGCAAACTAGAGTATCATAAAGGTTTACCTTAAATCGCTCCAACTAATGATGGCTACTTTAGCAGGCACTTGAAGGACTTCTCTGCACACCCCCACCCAGGCCCCTCCAAAAAAATCTCTGCAGCAAAATATCCGCACAGTATCTGAGTTCTGAGACACTGTCTAGTGTCTCTGTAGCCCAGTCTCCTTTCAAACGTTCCATGGTTCCCAGTAGACAGGAAGTACTGCTAGCAAAATATCAAAATGTTTAAGTCCTAAAAACTATTCAAAATATAATTTAATTTAAAAATTGCTCCCACAGGGACAATCCAGCTATTTTCATTCGGACTCAATCTTACGCAATCATGAGCTTACTTTTTTCTTTTAATACTAGAACTGCTATGCAACAACCCAAGGGAGAGTGTTCTCATCACGACTCCTAAAATTAAAACCCCAGGTATTAACTCTCAAAGGGGGGGGGGGCTCCCTTTATGTTTAACCAGGAGGCGCAGGTCTTTTTAGCCGCGCGTCCTGTCCGGATTCCTCAACAATTAGCAAGCTGTTCGGTTTAAACCCCTCTTCCCCAGCGCAGCCCACATGCACAGCGAGACGCAAACGGGCCTGGGTCTGAACAAGGATCGCCAACCCCAGAGATCTCTCTCCCTCCCTCGCTATCGCGGCCAACGCTCCAAAGTCAACAGCTCCCGGAGCGGCGTGCCGCCTTATCAGCTTTCTCGGGGTATGCTGGGAAACCGCAAACGCCAGAGTCCGCGACGGCGAGCGTGCTCCCCGGGGGCCACGGGAGGGAGGCGGGCAGGACACCGGGCCCCCGCTCCCGGGGACCCGCTCCCACCACCGCCCCAGCGCCCTCCGTGCCCGGGGCTGACGCCGGGCCGCTCCGCCGCGCGCCTGGGGCGCTGCCAGCACTCGGGGCCGGCGCCAGCCACGCAGCGCCCGGCCTCCCGGCTCTCCCGAGCGGCGCGGCTGACGGCGGGGACCCCGGGCGAGGCCCGCGCCCGCCCCTCCCGGCCCTGCGCGCCGCGCCCGCCCACCCCGAGGCTCCCGCTCCCGCTCGCAGGCGCCCCCGCCAGCCCCGATCGCGCCGCGGCCGCCCCCCGGGGGGGGCAAGGACGCCGTGCAGGTCGCCCGGGCGGGCGAGCGGGGAGGGCGAGCGAGGCAGGCGCGGGCGGGTTCCCGCGGCGCCCCCGCGGGCCGCAAGATGGCGGCGGCGGCGGGGCCGGCTGAGCCCTCCGCGGCGCCGGGCTGGCTGCTTCCCCTCCCGTCCGCAGCGCGGCCCGGGCGGGCGGGCGGGCGAGCGGGGCGGGCGGCGGCGGCGGCGGCGGCGAGCGAGGGGCGCAGCGGCCCCGGCGCTGGGCGCGGGCGTGGGGGAGGGGAGCGCGGCCAGACCCGGCCCCGGCCCCGCTCGGGCGCGCCCCGGCCGGCTTACCTTTGAATTTGAGGTCGGAGGGTGGGTCGAGGACCAGGATCTGCTCGTGCTTCGCCATGGCCCCGGAGGCGGACGCCATCGGAGACAGCGCAGGCAGAGCGGGGGCGCGCCCGCGGCGGCGGCGGCGGCGGCGGTTCGCTGGCGGCGGGGGCGGCTGCGGGCGGCGGCGGCGCCGGCTCGGCCGAGCTCTAGGACGGGGCCAGGCTCCCGAAGCTCGGCGCCCGCTGCTGCCGCTGCTGCTGCTGGGCCGCGCGTCCCGGCGGGTCAGCCAGCAGCTCCGGGTGTCACAACTGACTCAACCCCACACCAGCCGCCGCGGCCGCGCGCACGGCCAGCCTCGGCTGCCCACGTGACGGGCCCGACGCGCCGACGTGCGCGCCGCCGCGGCCCGGAGCCCCCGTGCGGGCCCCGCCCTCCGGGCCGAGCGCGCCTGCGCGGGCCCGGCCGGCGTTGCCGCTCCCGGCGCCCCGCGGCTGTCAATCGCGGTGGAGCGCGCTGGGGCGGGGCGGGGCGGGGCGGGGCGGGGCGCCCGGAGACAGGCGTCGGTCTCGGTCCCCAGGAGCTGCGAGTGCCGAGCTGCAGCGCCTACCACGGTGGCGCCTCACGGCGTTCCGAGTGGAATTCCGAACGGAGACAGTCACGAAGCGCCGGGTACCTCGCCTCCCGGCATGCTCCGGGCGAGGGGGAGGGCGGGGCCCCGCGCGGGGGCTGCCGGGAGCCGGGAAGCGAGTGGGTGGGGCGGCTGCCACGGCTTTGCGCTGGCGCAGGGCGCCTCGTCTGCCCCGGAGGAGGGAGAAGGGCTTCGCGGGCTGCCTTGAGGCCCGCGTCCCCGGTGGCGAGGCGGCAGGGCGCGCCCGTCTGCTCGGCCCTCCGCGGAGCGGGCCTGCCCCGATCCCCCGGTGGTCCAGCGCTGCCTCCTCCCTCACCTCCCCGCAGCCCTGCAAAGCCAGACCAAGAAACACACGCGCTCCGCCCAAAAGCAGACCGGCTCCGGGGGGAATCTGTGCCAGGCACGTGTCCTCAAGCTGGAGACGAGCGTCCCGTCCCACAGCGTGGAATTCACGTGCCGGATCCACGACCCATTTCAAACCCAAGCCAAATCTGCAAATTTTATCTGCATCGCTTTGTATGTACCAACGGAGAAAAAGGCCAGCAAAGTTGCTGACTGATCTTCAGCCCATTGCCAGGGTGTCGACGGACAGGAAGAGCAAACAGAACAAATGGATACGCTGTGAAAGTAAACCTGTGGTGCCGCTTGAATTTAAATCTCTAGGAAGCTCCAGGCGAAACGACATATTGACGCTGTTGCCACGAAGAAGCACCCAAGACTCCCCCAGGAAGCAAGTTTGAAATGGGGCTGTCTATACCACAGCTACTTCAACTTTTTAAGCTCGCCTGCCCCTTTCCACCTGAGAAGTGTTTAGGCCACGCAGGATATATAGGACATATATATGTATAATAGTGCTACAAAGCAAACACTGATAATAGATCGTAAAGAAGCTTGTTTTAGTAATGAAACTCTTTGTAATCTATTAAGGGGCTTCCCCCCCCCCCCCCCAGTGAAATTCAAGTCAGGAACCAAAACTGCAATTTTTAAAACCAAATATTCTAACACAATACAACCCAAATATGTATAAATCTGACACTTGCTAAGAAACAATAGTAGGAAAATACTGTTTTTTCCTTAATTAAGCCATTATGTCTTTATAAGGCAGGGACTCGGCTCAGCAGTTAAAAGCACACGCTGCTCCCAGCGTCCATGGCGGCCTGCTCACAGATGTAACTTCTACTCCAATGCCTCCGACCTCTGAGGACACTTGCACTCATGTGCACAGACCTATACAAGTACACATAACTAAAAATAAGCCTTTTTTTTTTTTAAAGGCTAGAAAGTTACAGTTCATAACACAGTAATCTCAAATCTGAGCCTTGGTGTTTCAAGCGCCGATCATTAGACATGCGGTAAGATGGCACGCGCAGAACCCAGGCTGCAGTAATAACCCCACAGTGCAACAGGCAACGTGGCTGAGCACCCCAGAAACCCTTTGTTTCACCACTCATTTGGCTTTGGGTTTTGATTGTTGTGTGCTCAGAAACATTTTGCTGTGGTAAAACTTTCCCCACCCTAGGGGCACACAACCCACTCTTGAATTTGAGGGCCAAGAATGAGTCTGTGTCCCTGCCCCAACCCTACCCCAGAAGAGCTCACAGGAGACAATGTGAAACCTACGGCACAGATCTTAAGTCACGAAGAACCCAGTAAGATAGAGGCACTTGAAAAGCACATTTGCTTTTTACTTTGAATTCTTTTTATCCACAAAAGTCATACTGAAATGTCAATTTTTATTAAAGAATATATATGTATGTACACACACACACACACATATAAAGAATTTGAAAGAGCTTGTGGGTTTAGCTTAGTTTTTAAAAACGAGTTGCAGCTGATAACCCGTCCATAGGATAGCATTGCACATCTGTTTCATTCTGAACTGAAAAACCTGACAAACTCCAGTATTGCGCTCACCTAAGAATTCTTGTGTGGACACGCTAGCCTTGGCTAAACAACCACTTCACGGCTGGTTAGACACCTCTCATTAAAAAGTGTAGGGATCCTCAGCGTGCCCACAGTCAGCAGAACCCCAGTCACTCTGCAAGGTGACTGGGAGTGTCCATTCACCATGCTTAATGTGAAACCTGATTACAGAAACTTCTCCCTGTTTAAGTCATTTACCGCTGGAATCAAGTGTTTCTTGGCATCACTAAAATAAATAAACAAGTCATGTACACATACCCTTCAGAGCTAAGAGAAGCCAGGCATGGTAGTGTGTGCCTTTCATCCAACCCTCAGAAGGGAGAAATGTGTGGGCCTTTTATGTTCCCAGCCAGCCTAGTCTACATAATGAGCTCCTGGCCAGCCAGCTCTGTCTGGAAGAGGAGGAGGAGCTACTATCAGAACCTAATATCTGGAAACACATGCGACGTGTCAGGACTCAACTTCCATCGCTGTTAGGACATGAATGCTGCTCCTGAATCATCCACCGCTCATAAATGAGCACACTGTTTAAGAGACCTGCGCTCTGGTATTTATTAATGTCTTTCTTGTAGTACATCTAACCCTTAAAAACATCATCACGCTATTCAGCTTTATAACCGTTGGCGAGCTTTACTTCTGTTGTCGGCTGTGGAGAATACTCACGCCAATGTTAGAACTAATCCGGGAAGGGAGGACAGTGCCCAGTTTTACATTCTACGTTCTTTAAGTGATTCGTTTCTATTTTACGTGTATGTGCACCGAGTGCATGACTGATACCCCTGGAGGCCGGAAGAGGGTGTTTAATCCTTTTCATTGGAGTTGCAGGCAGTTGTGATCTGCTCAGTGTGGGTGTACCCTCAACTGCTGTGTCATCGCTCCAGCCACAGATTCTGTGTGTCTTCCCACAGCCACCATAGCTGACACCCCAGTAGTCAGGCAACTGTTGAAACAAAGGGGAACACGGGACCTAATGCTTGTTCTCTCTTAGATTGATTCAGGTGAAGCAGAAAGGTCTTTCTTAGTATCCTTAAGTATATGTCTGTAAACGTACACAGGAACACAGCTCTCTGAATTTTTATGAGCCTCAGAGATATGAAAACTTTGTTATTGCCGCTGTAGTCACCTCGAGACCAGTTATCTCTATGGGCTTCACAATATTTTCTCAAGGTGTTTGTGTAAGTGACACCTGTGTTACCCCGGTATGTTGGTGCACACATCCAGATGTCAGCAACTGAGAAGCTGAAACTAGAGAGCTGCAGGCATGAGGCTAGCCTGGGCTACACTGCAAGACCCTGCCTCAAACAATCCATCCAAAGTGTTCCTTCTCTACAGGGAAACCCAGCCTTCAGTATAGAAGTGCTCTAGAGCAATGAATTTGATTATGAGCAGTTCCCCGAATAACTTGAATCAGTGAACATGTTGAAGGCCGTGCTGCTAACAAACATTAAGACTAATAAAACACAACCAGTAATGGTAAAACATCAGCTCTGAACTGTCTGGTTCAAACCCTGGTTTCCACTGTGTGATCTTAGCAATGCCCTACATCTGTCTTTGCCTGTCTGACATCTACCAAGTGACACAGTAAGACTTACATTCCAGATTTGTCACAATAATTAAATGGGTTAGTACACAAGACCTCAGAACAGTGCCCAGGACTGCCATGTCATTAGAGTTAACTTTTAAAATATTGCGGTGTGCCTAGTATTGTAGTAGATGCTGGGGACTAATACTGAGACATTGTTCCTACCCCTCAGGATTTCATTCATCTCATGGAGACAAGGAATATTTTTTTTGTCAAATTTCAGTAAACAAGAAATAAGAAGTCTAGAGTAGTATGAGGTGGCCAGTGATAACTGACTTGAAGGTCTAGAGAAAAATCTCTTGTAAGAGTAATAGGAAGCGTGTTCAAAAGGCCAACAGATAATGTGTGAAGACTAGGTGGGTGACATAAGCCAGGCTCGCTCTAAGTCAATAATGGAAGACTGATGCTGTCACTGTGGATAAATTTGGAAGTACGAAACCAGATGAGCCCTTTACTTTTCTGTTGCATGAGAAACACCTGACAAACGGGATTTAAGGAAGAAAGACTGTGCTTTGGTTCACTGAGCACAGTCGACCATGTCAGGCAAGCTGGAGCGCCAAGGGTCACTGACCTCAGCTGTGTCTTCTGGTTGGTTCTAAATCCAGTCACATTGAGAATATTGCACTAGGTCATGTAGACTGTTTTAAAACATGCTAGTGACTTGCTCTTTATCATAAGAAAACAAGGAAGAATCAAAGGGTTTAAAAGTGCAGTCTTTTTCAAAATTGTGTGTGTATACACATTTATGTACAAGTAATCAGGGAGGCCGAGAGGTGGCATCGGATCCCCGGGAGCTGCAGGCTCAGCCTCATGACAGTGCCGGGAACCAAACTTTGGTTCTCTGCAAGAGCAGTACACAGTCTGACTGGCCGAGCCATCTCTCGCTCCCAACAATGGTGTCTTCGGAGCAATCTCCAGAAGTTCTTTGGCTGCAGCGCGGAGACGGCTGCAGGGAGTGGACGTGGAAAGCCAGCGCTGCAATTCAGATGACACTGGGTGCTGTCACAGGGAATGGCAGCGTGAACCAGGGCGGGAA